AGTACTCGCCCATGTTATTATACACCGAACCGATGTTGTTGTAGGAACCAGCCAAGTCCGGATGATTCCGAGGGAGAGCTATTGTTCGGATTTCAACTGCTCGTTCGTGCGATGAAAGTGCTTTCGAGTACTCGCCCATGTTATAATACACATTACCGATGTTGCCGTAGGAAGAAGCCAACTCAGGATGATTCGGAGGGAGAGTTTTCTCTTTGATATCTAAAAATTTTTGATAAAATTTGATGGCCTCATTGTATTGTGCTAGATTATATTTAATCATTCCAAGGCAGTGATAACAGTAGGATTCATCATTTTCATTTGATGCCTCGTTGAGTAACATGTTGTACAATTCTTCGGCTTTATTATTCTCGCCGAGTTTCCATAACAATAAACCCATTTTTTGCCATCCTGTACCAGTAATCTCTTTTCGTAATTGTTTGGTGAGATTACTTAGCTGATGATCATCGTTGTCATTGGTGAGCGTTAGGTGTACTTGCTGTAATGTTCTTCCATATTCTTTCATGGGTTCGATTTTCTGGACGCGAAAAATGGTATGAGTAGAGAAGAGTATCTCTTTTTCGTCTGAATACTTGCTAATGGCACTGACGGAGGCAAAGATCTCTGCTGATGATGGTGAAGATGAATGTGATCGATCAATTGTTATAGTGAACAGAACACCGATCACATTATCGTCAGTAGAAGAAATAAAGCTGAGTGCAATCATACGATCCTCACTTGTTGATAAGAAATTGTTAAAGGATATGAGTTTATCTTGTTTAATTTTGTTTCGAAAATCTTTCTTGCTCATGATTTGACCTCGATAGACAGTACTTGGTAAAGTAACTGCGTGAGTTCCATTAGATTGTTCGAGATGAAGTTTTGCGATATTTCGGTGAACGTCAGAGATGAAGAAACCCATTTTTAGAAGAGCACTGACGTCTAGAGAGCGTAGAGCTTTGTTGACAAGTTGGTACGTAAAACATTGCTGGGTGTACCACCAAATGGGTTTGTCATCGACAGTTCCAGGATGGCGGTTACCAAATTTATCAATAATTTCGAAGGTTATATTATCGTTAGTATACTCTTCACCAAATTTATTGATAAGTTGCAACTGTGCATTATTTTCGACATAGTCCGGTTGTTTACAGGCATATTCGACTAAATCTTTCACTTCTTTCGTTTTATTAAAATCAATTGTGAGAATAATTTCTTTGAAAAGTTGTGTATACATGAATGAGGGTTCGATTTCAGAACCGATTGGGACAGAATCTTCGTCACATTGTCGAGCAGATTGTCGAACTGCATCACAAATTGAAATAATTTCAGTGAAAATACCTTTCACTTTGGACCAGTCTTTTCCCCATTCTTCATATTTTTCTTTTTTTTGACAGAATACATAAATTGAATAGAGTTGTGTCATATTATGAACGCGTGGCACAACAGTTTCACATAGTGCACCAGAAATAATAAGAAGTATTTTTTGGTTTTGAAGTTGTAGTATATACTCGATACATTCATCAGTTTCGCGGAATGTTTCAATGTTATTAACGGTACGTTGTAGCTGTTTGATTGAATGACCATAATCGTCTACTGATTCATCGATTTTTTCATCCAACCATACAAGAAGAAAATTTTGAACAAGTTCATCTAAAGGTACTACGATTCGACTACGATCTCGTTTTGGATTTTGATTTAAATCTAATTGTTGATTTAATGTAGTAGATGATGTTGGTAATAATGATGAACGTTCGTTGGGTAGATTATCTACTGGCATTGGCGAGGATGCTCCACAACCCATATTGATTGATTGTATGTGACGTAAATATAGCTAATAAATATTAAAGAATGTTAATCTGAAATCACAAATGAATGAATGAAAATGCTAATCAAAGAGAATGAAAGCTTCTTGGTTTATTTTATCATCTATCAATGTTCTTTTACTTTTGTGCTTTTTTTTCGACATTGAGACATGTTACCTAGCGTTAATTTGAAAAAGACGAAGGAAGGAGGAGCATTGTTTTATATGATTGTAAATTTATTTTGTCTTATTTACATGGTTCCTTACCTATTAATCTATTATAATTTGCTCTTACGTTTTAATCCATTACAATTCTATATATTGAAGATAAGTGATTTTCTCGAGATTCGAACATGAAATCTAAAATTTTGTTTGATTATTTGAAATGCTTGTGTTTACAAATTATACGATTACCATTGAATCAAAGTCATCCAAGTATAATAAAATTAGAACCTTTATATAAATTGTTTCAAAGAGAAATGGCACAATTACATTGGAAATCAATTAAAATCAATTAGAATAAAAAAACTGATGAGTCGTATTTTTTACACTTCGACTTCATGATGAGAGGAATACTAAGATCGAATAATTTTTATGCGATTAAAGTAGTTTACAACATATCTTGATGACTAATTTAGACATTGATCGTCGTAGAGTATGCTGAAAACCGGGTGTGTCGTTCTGACTTACACATGTAAAACAAAAAAAACAAAGCCACAAGAAATTAAGTTATATATACCAATGTTGGATTAAGTTGAATAATTTAATGAATTATAAGTGATTTCTACAAATGGTAATCAATTAAAAATCCAATCGATTATAATAGATTCTAAGAATAATCTATTAAAATTTGTTATCTACTTAATAGTCTAAATAATTAATAAAAAATTGAATCGATCAAAATAGATTGGATTTTTCACGAATTATTTCAATTATATACTGAATAACAGATTTTAATAGATTATTCATAGAATCTATTATGATCGATTGGTTTTTTGATAGACATTTCAACTTATTGCCAAACGAATCGGTTTTAATTGATCAACATCTGTAGAAATCATTTATAATTGATTAAATTATTCAGTTTAACCCGACATTGCACATATAACCAATTCTTCTTGATTTTTCAGAGAATAATCAGTTTTATTCTAATTTATTGTGTGTTTTTCTTTTACATGAGATATTAATACTGATTAGATTTCTAATTGCTTACTTAGAGCGATTCGAAGGAAAACAAATTTCAATATATTATTCGCAATAAGTCGGATTATAATAGATTGTTTTCGAAATCTATGAATATTAATTAGGTTTCTAATCGATTGTTGGTGAGGAAATCGTTTATTATAGATTAATTGGAACACATAAGAAAATTGGTTAGATATATAATCGGCTATTTAGAGTTATTTGAAAAATAATGGATTTCGATAAATTTTTCGAGAATAGATTGATTAAAATAGACTGTGCCTGGAATCTATTAGAATTGTATTTTCTTTTCTAATGAATTATTTCATTTGTTCATCACATAAACAATTAAACTAAATGACCGATAGAATGAGAATATTGAAAATTTTAATATTTGCCCTTAGCATAAAACTTTTAGAAATGAAAAGTATTCTGTGACTTTTCAAAGATTATAAGAGTAACGAAAAACACTTTCGTTCGAATAGTAATGTTTTCTTTTTTTTATTTCTTTGATGAAGTACAATTATTAACATGATCCTTCTATCTAAAAGCTAACAAATTGGTAAAACTGAA